AAAAAAAACATTACACCTGAGGCCACAAGGGGCAGCGTTTCCCACCGAAGTGCAGAGGTCGACAGTGAAAAGTAACTTTGTCAGAATAAAACGTGCGACTGAACCTTTTTCAAACACGTGGCCGATCTGAAGACGCTGTGCGAGCGCATGTGACCGTTCAACGCCGGGAGACTCCTGAAATCTCTCTTACACACTGTGCACAGCAGCCTGCAACACACACACACACACACACACACACACACACACAGATGGGTGTGAAGATGTGAAACTAGTGGAACTAGAGAAGTGAACGTACAACATCATGGTTTTACCTGTTGTCTAAAACCTTTGTTTCGTTTTCAGGTTGTGAACTTTTCATCTGGAAAAATGAAAAGTAAAGATTTGAATCAGTTCGTTTATAAATTCACAGATTTTCTTATTTGAATATTGCAAAAGTCTTTAAAACATAAATACTTGTTGATGAATATATTTGCTTTTCTATGCACTTTTAATTTTGGGGGGATTTATTTACACATAATTATTTATTCACACTTCACTTATCTATTGATGCAGATATTATATTATATATTTTATATTATTGATGTACTATCTTTGTATTTACTACTGTTTACTTATTTACAGTTATTTACCCAATTACTCATCACTGTACTTTTATCCACTTAAATATTCATTTTACTTTTCATTGCACTTATTTACTTCAACTTACTTTTTTACTCACTTATTCTGTATTGATTGACTTTATTTATTACTTTTATTACTTTACATTTTATTCCATGAACTTCATTTGGTCATTTAGTTCATATTCATTTCTTCACCTCATTATTCAAACACTAGTTTCCTCGCTGGATTTTAAATTCATATTATAATCACGTTAAAACTATGAATACTTTTCTTACTCACCAAGGTCACCTGTGGTTGTGCCTCTCTCCCCCTCCTTCCTCCTCTTCCTCTTCCTCCTCTTCCTCTTCCTCTTCCTCCTCCTCCTCCTCCTCCTCCTCCTCCTCCTCCAGGCTCGTCGCTCCACATCACCTGAGCAGCGGAGCTTGGACCTTGGGCAGCACCGCTCACAGTCTGGCCTCCTCCCTGTGGAGAGAAGCTCGTGTTGAAGACGTTCGTCTGGTCCAGATCAGTTTGGTTGAGGAGGAGGTGTCGGCTCGTCTGATGAAAGTGGTGCTGACGAGGTTCAGAGGTCAGAGGGTACGTGTCGAAGGTCTGATCTGGGATCAGCTGCGTTTCTCTGTGAAAACCCAGAGTCTCATTGATGGGATGAATCTGAGGGGCGGGGCTGGAGATGGTCTGGGTTTGTGGGTAATGAGGACTGGGACCAGGAGTAGTGGGGCTGCAGAAGACATGTGGGAGGTACCCGTCATGGTAACCGTCATGGTAACCGTCAGGGAAGAACTGTGTGTTAAAGACGTCGCCAGTTGATGATGAGCTGAAATCTGCTGAGCTCCACCTCTCCAGGCCGACTCCTCCAGACATGGAGCCCACCGGAGGGCACTGTGTCTGGGGCAGAGTCGTCTCCAGAGGCCCCCAGGGGTCCTGACCCTGACCAGGGGTGTCGCCGTGTCCACACACACCTCCGGGAACAAGCGTGTGAGCGTTATAAGAGAATCTGTGCGTGTCGTGCTGGTGAGTCACGCCAGGACTGTTCTGCAGATCCAGAGGAGCCGTGTTCTGGTTCTGTTTCACATCAGAGAGACAAAGATTTAGTGAACGCACACGGGTCACTTCTGGTTCGAGAGGAAATAGAATCAAATCATACCTGGAAGAAAACACTGTTGAAGGAGGAGAGTTCAGATTCCCTCCAGTTTAGATTGATCAAACCTGGATCATGATGAGGGCTGGAGAGGAGGTGCTGAGGAGGGAGGTGCTGAGGGGAGGTCACATGAGGAGGAGGAGGGAAGAAGCAAGGAGTGTTTCCATGCTTTCTGAGTGATGAGGGGGAGGAGAGGGGAGGAGGTGACTGATGGATGATGGGAGGAGACGACGAGGAGAAGGTCCACAGGTCAGACATGGTGTGTGTGTGTGTGTGTGTGTGTGTGTGTGTGTCTCGGGTGGTTTGTTGTCTGGATGATGTCGTCACGTGAATCTGTTTTTCTGAAACAAACAAAAACAAACATGGAAGGTTCCGTGTTCACGTACGTTTAATAAATAACAAGTAACGTGTAAATAAAGACGCCGTGTGGTCCCGCCCACACACATGTTGGACCAATCCTGAGTCAGTCTCAGCTGTCAGTCATGACGTCTCATTCAAACCCAACTGCCCACACACACGACCACAACATCAGAGAGACGAGAACGAGCGGAAAGAGCGAAACATCTTTAAACATTTATTTAACGTCTACTTTCATGCTTCAGTTTGGTCCACGTCCCGCCTGCTAACATGGAGGAGGAGCTTCTGTTTTATAATCAAGTAAAAAAATGAGGTCGAAAACATTTGAGTGATTTTCAGGTTAAGTGTTTAGACTTTNCTTTTATTATCTAATTTTATAGTGATAACTGAGAAAGAATACAAAGAAATAAATCTAGGAATACAAAGAAACGAGCTCCTTTAAAAGCTGTTAAAGTGCTTGAGATTGTTAGTGTGGTAATTGGTAACATCTTAGCCAAAAACCTCTTCTTCTTCGCTGCTATAAAAACTGTACTTGCCAGTGGCTGCAAGGCTCAACTGCTGTTGTGGGGCCGTAAAGAAGAAGGAATAGAAAATAACGTAACTTTAAAGACGCACAGATGCCCGACCTGGGATTTTCTGCAGAATCAGAGGCGTATCCAATGCTGGTATCGGCACATCTCTATCAATGGTTGGCTTCTCTTCCTCCTGTTGCTTTCTTCTCCTCAGGAATCGTGGAGGTGCTGATGTGTCGACACAAGGTGAGAAACGCTCTGGGCCATGTGTTTGTGTCACAGGTGAGCAGACTCTTACAACACACACACACACACACACACACACACACACACTCACACTCACACTCACACACACACACACACACTGAGACCACTGTGTCCTGTGAGTGCAGATGAAGGAGCTGATGTCCGCTCTGTCCATTGACCCCTCAGTGCGTGTGGTTGTCTTCAGGAGTTTAGTCCCCAGGGTTTTCTGTGCAGGTACGTGACATCTGAAACATCTTTCAGCTGCCGGGCATCTGCACTTGTGATCAAATCCTTTCTGGATCATGTGTGATGCTGCCCGATTGTAGGTGCAGACCTGAAAGAGAGAGCTTTGATGAACAACTCTGAGTCTGACCTGTTCGTTCACGGCCTGCGTTCACTCATGAATCAGATCGGTAAGAGACCAGATAGATGGATGGATGATTAGTCTTATTTGTTCTGTGTACACACTTGTGAGCTGTCCTTTCGTTGTTTTGTTGTCTTTGTAGCATCGTTGCCCGTGCCAACCATCGCCGCCATGGATGGCGTTGCCCTGGGAGGTGGACTGGAGCTCGCTCTGGCCTGTGACCTCCGCACTGCTGGTGAGTGACGGCTGAACCTTCACTTGTCAACCTAGAACTATAGAGGCAGCTTCACGTGTGGATACCTTTTGCATTCCTCTCTCTCCCTTCAGGTGACATTAGTAGAGTTAGAGAGGTGATGTCAAGTTTGCTTCACAGCTGTCAAAGATCCAGTCATATTAGATCAGTGGCTGAGTGGAGAATAGAAACAACCACTCGGGGCCATTCCTCTGGACTAGACTGACAACTCCCTCATTCATCGTAGATTCAGACAGTGGCTCTCAACCTGGATCTGAGGACATGAGAATGATTAACAATGTAGGAAGTTAAGAAAAAGGAAAAATATGTTTATTTTACTTTTTTTAAATCAAATCTTAAAAATCCTCATATTTTCCAGACCCTATTGTTAAATGTAGATGTGTATAAACGGTTGTTTTAGCACTGAATACATAATACACATAGTACCCAACCCGTAAAACAAAAATTGGTCAATCATTACAAGCTTATCTTGGATTTGGAGGACATAAGTATAACCTGCCCTCTTATATTTGTGGGAATGGTGCAGATATTAAATCACACAGGCTAAAAACAAGTCTGTTGTCATTCCTGACACGGTGACATTTGGAGACCCACTATTAATGATGGGCTGATGATGCTGCAGAGGGCCACACATCTGCTCAGCTGTTCATGAGACTGGATGTGATTGGCTATATTAGGCCGATCGGTGATTGGCTGAGGGCTGACAAGCTAGGTGAGCAGGTGCTTGCGTGTGTTGCTCTGAAAGAATCATCAGTCAGACTTTGCACCGTCCCTACAGCTTAATGGCACTTTGCTGCTCAGACCTTCAACTGTCCTCTGTGTGTGTGTGTGTGTGTGTGTGTGTGTGTGTGTGTGTGTGTGTGTGTGTGTGTGTGGGTGTGTGTGTGTGTGTGTGTTTCAGCATATTCCGCGCAGATGGGTCTGATTGAGACGACACGGGGGCTGCTCCCAGGGGCGGGTAAGATGAACAGAGGTCACAAAAATGAGCTCATACTGAACTGAGAGACACAAAGTGGCTGTGGGAATTGACCTTGAG